TTCTTCCTGGTCTCCCATGCGGGTACAGGAGCCCTAGCACTTGGGCCATCCTCCACTGCCCTCCCAGGCCAGAGCAGAGAGCTGGACTGGAAGAGGAGCAACCGGTACTAGAACCCGGTGCCCATATGGGATGCTGGCGCTGCCCCCGGAGGATTAACCAAGTGAGCCATGGCGCTGGCCCCAATACTATCATGTTTTTAATATGCTTGGCTCAAGAAGAGATATTACAATGACCTACACCAGTTAGGAAAGTGGTGATTTTATTTAAATAATAGAAGGTGATATTTTTCTCATTGTTTAAAACCCCATTTAAAAAATAATGGGCACTCAGCAAACTGTTCTTGATGCATGTGGTTCTAAAATATAGAGTACAAAATATTTAATGTCTGTGAGTGAGATTAACATCCTAGGATTTGATTATTGTTCATAGCCCTTGTCTATATTCATGCTGAACAGTGGTCTTTCTCCTTTTTACTTGCTTTTTTAAGAATTATTTTATTTATTTGAAAGGCAGAATTGCAGAGAGAGAGAGAGAGAGAGAGAGACAGAGAGACAATTTCCATCCACTGGTTCACTCCCCAAATGGCTGCATGGCCAAGGCTGGCCCAGATTGAAGCCAGGAGTCAGGTCCTTCTTCCAGGTCTCTCACATGGCTGCAAGGGCCAAGGACTTGGACCATCCTCCACTGCTTTGCCAGGTGCATTAGCAGGGAGCTGGATCAGAAGTAGAGTAGCTGGGACTTGAATTGGCATCCATGTTGGATGCTGGCCTTGCAGGTGGTGGCTTTACCTGTTACATCATGATGTCAGCCCCTACATTTTACTTGCTGAACTCCTTAGTGGATCACTAAGCCTATGACTATAAAGTTAATTAAAAAGATGTTACTGCAAAAATTTAAAAAGAAGAAAGGAAAGAGAGAAAGAGGGGAAGGAGAGAGGATGGGAGGGAAGTATCACTATCCTCTTATTATTGTATCTATGACCTGCATGAAATTTATTCTCTTTATATTAATTTTAAAAGTGTTTTAAAAGAAATGGAACGGAAACATAAAGTGAATCAATGAATAAACAGTGCTCTCTTTATTGATCACATTATGAAGCCCGTTATCCTGTGTTGCTAATGCACGGTGTTGTGCACAGCTTTGCACGGGCTGTTCAGAGACTCTTGATCAAAGTTTTAGGCCATTTGAATGCAATATGTGATTTACATTGTTGCTCAGCACACACATACACACATAAAATAATAACTTTGATGGAGCCCTAAGTACTCTCTCATTTTCAATGCACTTTGACAATGTATTCTTTCCTATCTTAAGAGTTAATATATGCAAAGCACTAAGGAAAGCACCTGCACAGAGTACATGCTGCATCTGCTATTTGACTTAATTTAATTCTTGAAGATATTGGTCCCAATCCACCACCTGATCAATCTCACCTTTCATTAGTGTGGGTCGTGGACTGCAGTTTGTACAATACTGCGTTAGGAAAGGCCTATGGTAAGTTACTCCTCAAAAACTCATCTAAAACAATTTCATGGAAGGTTTATTTGCTAAAGATCTGATGAATATAATAATTTACATTAATTTTAATATAATTAATTATCTGTACCTTAATAAATATAATTTATATATGCCAACAAAAAGTGTTTTGTGGAATGTTCTTCTTGATTATTTTCTTTTTTTAAAAAGGTTTCTCTTTCCTTCTTTGAAAGGCAGAATGATAGAGAGGAAGAGACGGAAATAGAGATTTTCCATCTCATGGGTCACTCCCCAGAAGACCTCAACAGTCAGGGCTGGGTCAGGCCAAAGCCAGATCTGGAACTCCTTTCTGGTCTCCTCACGGATCCAAGATACTTGGGCCATCTGCTATCTGCTGCCTCCCCAGGTGCTTAGCAGAGAGCTGGATCAACGTGAGGCTTTGATATGGGAGATGCCATCATCATAAGTGGCAGTTTAACCCACTGCACCATAACATCAGCCCATTTTTTATTATTTTCAAATAAATATAAATATATTTTTCTTGCAATTTAAATAATTTCCACTGAGTGCATTATCTGGGGGATTTTAAGAATGCTACTGACAATAATTGTATTAAACCCAATGTTTACTATACTGAATAAAATTATATTAATGAGGAATGCATTCTTATGAAAATATAATTGAAATACACATCAATTCTATTCCGTTTTGATATATTACTAATTTAGAATCTCAGAGTAGTTGTCTTTGAAAGTGCTACTTCATTTCTCAGTGGGAATTATTCTTTACAGAGATGCTTTTGTGTATCAGTGACAACTATTTCTTCATTATTCCATTCATCCAACAAAAATTTATTGACTTTGTGATTTGTGCCATGCTCTGTGGTAGGAACTAAGTAGAAAGATAAACCAATTAAGGCTTTCCTAAGTTTCAAACTAATGGCAGTGAATAAGCAAGCATATAAGTATACTAAATTTCCCCAATAACTGTGATGTAGCTAGTATCTTAATTTTATGGAGGAAAAATGACCTTCAGAGAATTTAGAAATCATGTCCAAACTTAAAGTGAAGAAACTGAAATTCAAATCCAACTTTTCTGGTGCTAGACTTCAGGTGCATTTTTCTGTCGCAGATTGACTTACAATTACAGAATTATTTAATTATTTTGTCTCATTTTTCTCTATTATGTGCTCGGCTATATACTAAGCACATCAGGCCATATAGAAGCAACATTTATGGTGGCACAAAGTATTGGTTAGGCTTTCAGGCTCACATTCAGACTGACTGGGGTTTCGTTCTATATAACCTCACAACAGCACCTGGCATGAAGGCAGTATGGCTCTCCACTATATTGCAGGTATTACTGTTGGAATTAAAAAGACAAACAGACTCTAGTATGCATTTACTGTACAGTTGACAAAACTTCAGTATTGCTCAATAGCTATACCTTAGCCCCCACTGCTTCTCAACTCTCAGTGCCTCATTTTAGACTTCCATTATTATCAGGCATGACCTGAATTACAATATGGCCTGGAGTGGTTATACTGGAAATGATGGATTGTGAATGGATTCAGGGTATATTTTAAAGGTTTGAAAGTTGAGGAGAGGCTGTTTCATATCAAGATTAAATAGCTGAGTGATATAGTTGGTACAACCATCAATAGACTCCCTTGCAGAAGTCATGTGATAAAAGGCAGCATCTCAAAATTTGATTCTGCTGTTATTCCTAAAGCTCAGCCCCAAATTTTATGCTAATGTTTGTAAAAATGGTGTGTTTGTTTAAACAAGTTTGAATTAGGATGTAATTCACATAAACTTCTGTAATGTGGTTCCAATAATTTTACTGTGCTTTTTGTCCTATTCCACAGCAACTGAACATACTACTGCTGCTATTAATAACTATATTTATCTAATGATAGTAATGCTCATGTTTATTGTGTACTAACAGATGTATTAGGCACTATTCTGAGTAATTTGAACTTATCCCCTCATTGCATTATCCAAACAGCCTTCTGAGCACCATTGTTGTCATCCCTACTTTTAATCTCAGGACAGAAATGTTATGTGGCCAAAGTTCCCAGCCAGTAAGAGCAAAGACCAGGATTTTAATGTAGACAGTTTGGTCAGCCCCAGAGACCTGAACTTTTGTATCATAATATGCAACCTCTATAAATATTTGAATTGTTCTGAAAGACTTTTAGAAATTGCTTTAATTACCCCATCACATTGTAAAGGGAGGAAAATTAATGTTCACTCTGTATTTTTTTCAGAGAAGAAATTAAATCTGGTGGATATCTATGTTGTTTCTCCAAGGGTATAAAACAAGGATGAGCTTCAAGAGGGTAAAGCAAGACACAGGCTTCACAATGCAGTGTTTGTTTCAACGGTCATTATTTTTGAGTTTTTATACTTTTTTGGCATGTCTTTCTTCTTTGTTTCATTTTTAATTTTAATTAATTTTTAATAGATTCAATATGATTTGTAAATACAACTCTAAGAACATAATGATAGTTTCTTCCTCCCTCCCATCCTTCTTCCTTCTACCTTTGTTTCTGTATTTTTTAATAAGTTTTCGAGATAGTATATTTTAAATTTCCATTACAGTAAAAAGGCTTAATATTTTATCAAATAAGAAGCGTAACAAGTAAAAAACAAAAAGACCCTAGTTAATGGGATAATAGATACCAACTAAAAACAATAAGTGAATGTAAAAATGACCATTTCACTCTCACACAGTTTTTTCTTCAATTAGTCATTCATAATCTCTTTCAATGAAATAGGACCAATGCTAACAGTTTTCTCTGAGGAGGGAAAGAGCAACTACCCTTTCTTAGACCTGTGATGGAAAACCACTACATGGGCAATAATGATAATCCCACACCTCACAGTATTTTACTTCCAGAAAGGCAATGACATATCATTATTTTCAGGAAATAATCTAATAGGAGAGTTGGGAAAATTAAAATAATATTTATGCTTCTCAGAATATCGGGCATATGATAAGTCCAGGGTTAACATAAGCCTAAGTGTTATCTGAATTAGAAATTACTGTAATAAAAGACTAATTTTCAGGGACTGGCATTGTGATGCAGTGGGTTAAGCTGCTGTCTCCAATGCCAGTATCCCACAAGAGTGCTGGTTCATGTCCTAGCTGCTCCAGTTTGGATTCAGCTTCCCATTGCTGTACCTTGGAAAGCAGTGGAATATGGTCCAAGTAATTGGAACTCTGCCAGCCATGTGAGAGACCAAGTGGAGTTCTTGGTTTCTGGCTTTAGTCTGGCCCAGCCCCAACCATTGAGGCCTTTTGAGGGAGTAAATCAGGATGGAAGATCTCTTTCTCTCTCTGTCTTTCCCCTCTCTCTATATATAGCTTTGCCTTTCAAATAAAATAAATAGATCTTAAAAAAGTAGTTTTCAGAGGAAGTTAAAACTTTCAATTCAAATTAAAATAAGCAGTAAATATTTTAAGGATAACTGAGTGGTCACTTAGAAAATTTGAGTGTATTTAGAACTAGCTAGTTTATCACACATTCTTACAGGTTGAAATACAGAGGTTATAAATACCAGTCTCGGGGTTGTTGAGAACCCTGCAATAGCAGTGGCATCATGGTATGTTCATGTTGTTGGGTGGCACAAGAATACTTTCCCAGATGTAGGTAATTAATCCAATTTTCTTCTTTTGTTTTGACAGGTGAAATAAAATTTCAAAATGAAATCCATGGTGAACAGCACAGAAGTGCATGAGTTTAGACTCCTGGGGTTGACTGACATCCCAGAGCTGCAAGTCCCTCTCTTCATAACATTCACCTTCATCTATCTCATCACTCTAATTGGGAACCTGGGAATGGTTGTGTTGATTCTGCTAGACTCTCGTCTCCACACTCCCATGTATTTTTTCCTCAGCAACTTGTCTCTGGTGGACTGTGTTTACTCTTCAGCTGTAACTCCTAAAGTGATGGCTGGACTTCTCACAGGGGATAAAGTTATGTCCTTTGTAGGGTGTGTTACTCAAATGTTCTTCTTTGTGGCTTTTGCCAGTGTTGACTGCTTCCTGCTTGCTATCATGGCCTATGACCGTCATGTGGCAGTGTGTAAACCCTTACATTACACCACCACCATGACGACCAGTGCATGTGCTCAGATGGTGGTAGGCTGCTATCTCTGGGGCTTGGTTGAATCTGCCATCCACACTGGGTTCACCTTCAGTCTTTCCTTCTGCCATTCTAATGTGATCCATCACTTTTTCTGTGACATCCCCCCAATCCTGGCTCTTTCCTGCTCTGATATCTACATGAACGAGATTGTGCTGTTTATCTTAGCAGCTTTCAATGTCTTTTTTGCAATTTTAGTTATCTTGACCTCTTATTTGTTCATTTTCATTGCCATCTTGAGGATGCATTCTGCAGAAGGGCGGAAGAAAGCCTTCTCCACCTGTGCTTCTCACCTTACTGCTGTAACCATATTCTACGGAACTGTGATCTTCATGTACTTACAGCCCAGTTCTAGTCATTCTATGGACAATGACCAAATGGCATCTGTGTTCTACACAATAGTAATTCCCATGTTGAATCCAATTGTCTACAGTCTAAGGAATAAAGAGGTTAATAACGGTTTCAGGAAAGCCATTGAGAAGATGAAGACTCGGCTCAGCATATAATTTTAATTAGAAGGAGTATTTAATCTATGTAGTTAATCAGTTATCTATCATGGTTAGCCTAGCACAATTGTAACTTAGGCTAAACTGCTATAACAAAGAAAGATAACTATAGAGGCACAAATAAGAAATTTATTTCTCAAATAGCAGTAACTAATGTAGCAATGAAAATGAATTCTCTAGACTGCTTTGGTAGCTCACTCTAACATGGAGATTCCTTTCACAGTGCCTCTTTCTACCATCTCTTAGTCTTGAAGACTTTCCTCATCATAACTGTTCTATCTGGAGAAAAGGAAAAGGACCAGAGATAAGGCAAATAATTTTCAATTTAGCAAGTGAAGTGGTAGTCACACACATTACTTCTGAACACATTTCATTGCCAAGAATTCAGTCACATGGCCACAGCCTGCTGTAAAGCCAATTTTGAAATTTATTCTCTAGCTGAGTGACAATGTGTTTAGCTGAAATCTCAGTGATCCAGAAGAAAAAGAAAGCAAGATTGCAGGGAAAACCAGTAGTCAACACACAATTTTTACTTCAATCTGAACTGCTATATTTATCTCTAGCTTATTTTTTTTTCCTTCATGGGACCTCTCTTACTAGACATTGCAGTGATTCTATTAAAACTCTCTTCTGGACTATCCAATTTAAATAGCTATCCCAAGTAATCCTTCTATGTTCTATATCTTTTTCTTGGAATTTAAATAAATCTCTGAAATTATATCTTCATTAAATTGTTTATTTTCTTTTTCCTCAAAGTCATTATTAATATATTTAACATCACAGAAATAGCATAGCCTCCAAATTATTTACATTATTTCAAGGTGTTTGAAAGGTAGAGAATATGGCATACTGATGCATTGAATGTGTGAGAAAAATAATAACCTAGTCACCCAGGAGACTACAAGGATAACATGACTACCACGAGGAGTTACAGAGAGGCAGAGGCAGAAAGAGATCTTCCACCTGCTGGTTCACTCCCAAAATGGCCACAATGGCGGGAGCTGGACCTATCCCAAGCCAAGAGCCAGGAGCTCCCTCCAGGTCCCCATGCAGGCACAGGGGCAAGCACTTGGGCATCTTCCATTCTTTTCCCAGGCCATAGCAGAAAGCTGGATCGGAAGTAGAGCAGTGGAGTCTCAAACCAGCGCCCATGTGGGATACCAGAACTGCAGGCAGTGGCCTTACTCTCTTCGCCACAGTGCTGGCCTCCTCCTCCCAGATTTTAAAAATTGGATTCGTTAAATAATCTCCTATTCCTGAACAGTGTTTCTGTTTCCTCAAATAGAAACTGATTAATTTATCTACCTTCTTAATCACTTACATTGAAAATATTTTCCGCTGTTAGTTTCCACCACAACTCCCTGATCATTTTCAGAGCACTAGTAACATTAGTAGATGAACAATAGGAATGGATAAGAAACACATAATGTCCATAAATGGAATATTACTCCACAAAAGATTCCACTGCTAATAAGGATGAGAACATTAATGAATCTCCAATGCATTAAATTTAAAAAGTAAGACGAGAAGCGCATATATGCTAGGATTCCAGTTAGAAAAAATTTTGCAAACATAAAATTACATGGACAAAAGTATTTTAGTCGTTTTCAGAGAAACTGGATGGGTAAAGGAGCTGACTGAAAGGAATCTTGGAGTGTTGTTTAGTTGATTAACAAAAAATATCTTGATTGTGGTAGTGATTATACAATCACAAGCCTCACACAATTCTTGAAAGCATATGCTAAAAGTGTGGACATTATTGCTTTTAAATTCTGCATTAATTAGAAGGTAATATAACAACAAGCAGTATAAAATCATGTGCATAAATTTGATGTATCTAGCTAGGTCTCCATAGACAATTTAATTGGTTCTTTCATGGAAAAGTGGGATGAGGAACAACAAAAGATGCCCTCATGTGGGTTGTCCTCTGAGAACTCCATACTCCTACAATTCCCTCATGGTTCCCTTGCATTGGCTTCTAAAAATTCCAACCAGAACACATGACATCATTTTAAACAGTAAGAATGAATCTTGCTCCCCTTTATTTTTCTGAATGTTACTTGACAGTACCTCCAGGCCTTTCCCAGAGCAGAGGATTTGCTATGAGTTTGCAACCATGGCAGCAAGATAAATATTATATTGAATGACTTAAAAATTATAACCCTTTAGAGATGTTTTGCAAATCTCCTAATATTTGCTCTGTACAGATGCAATTCTATGAATGATGCAAGAGAGGTAATTTTATTATGGTTGTTTTACAATGAAGGAGGAGATAAGTGACCCTACTAAAGGCCCCCTTAGAATTAATGGTGGACTCAAGACTTGAACTCAGGTGCCTGGATCCATGTTAGTGTTTTTGTTTCCGTCTTTGCTTGCCTTAGATAACTTGCAACTTGTTCACATGTATCTGTGAAAGAACCTCTCTAACAGCCTTTATGCATTTTTTTCATGCTGAATTCATGAAGTCAGGCTGCCTAATCAATATTGACTTCTTTTCCAGCAGCAAGGTAAGCTTCTGTATTCCATAGACACAATTAGAGAAAAGTACAGTTCATGCAGAAGCAGTGGGGACGGCTATACATACACAATTTGATCACAGAAGTAGCTGCTTTCTTCTAAAATAGTATGTTGAGGCAGGGGTATAAATGTCAATACTTCCATTGGTATGGAGTTTGTTGACAATTGTGAAATGTCTTGCTAGAGTATACGGACAATAAGAACAGGTGGATGATGCTATGATGAGTAGTTGGTAATTTCAGCATGCTCATCTAGTTCACCCAGTTAGCCTTCCATTAGAGATAAAACAAGCAAATATTTAAAGTGTAAACTGAAGGCTCCTTAAACATATAAAGGGAAATAAGTGAAATAGCAATGTCTGAACATCTTAACCTTCTTGCTATATTCGCATGCTTATTATTATTGGTGCATGTAAACACATGGTAGCAAGGTGGAAATTTAAATTAAGTTGGAACTGGATTTTAATTTTGAATTGTGAATACTCATCATTCTAATTGTGAGGCTACAGAATATCACAAAACCAAATTTCTAATTCCAGTAATAATAAAATTAAAATAATAATACCTACCACACACATAACGCACAAATACAAACCTATAAACATTTAAATGAAAAATTTTAACATTATTTGTAGAACATAGTATATTCTGAAAGTGGATATGTGTGTTAAAGTTAACAAATAAAATGCTTATAAACTTTAATGTAGAACAATGGTAAGGAAAGTAGTTGGCAGTAGATGGATATCCTTCCTATTTTAAAACTCTGTTTCTACACAAGAGCTGATTTAAATAATAATTTTACAATATGAAGTTTTTAACCAAAATAAATCTGCAGGCAAAAGGTAACTTGCAAAGTATGCACTTTTAACCTTAATTATCTGATTTCAACCAAGGGATAATAATAATGAAAGAATGAGTTTAAGGAGAGGAAACTCTTTCAAATCAAGCTAAAATATGTATTTTGCAGAAAAGATTAAACAAAACAATGGCCCATACAGAATAGCAGAGCAGCCAATTAAATGGGTGGGGAAAAGACAGAGTGAGAATTACTGGGGAGCACAGAAAATCTCAGTGACCCTAGTGTGTAAGAAAAGGCAAAATGAAGAGGAAGGTGATAACGCCCCCAAATTTACTCACACATGAAACCTGTGTATCACCATCTACCTTTATCAAACAACCACGGGGACCATGAATTCTTCCTGATAATATTATCTCTGCCTCTCAGCATGTCATGCTAAACACCTAGCATTTTTAGCCCTAGTTTTAAAGATGTATTATTTCATTTAATTGTTAAGATAATACATCGAGTTACTTCCTATTAATATTTTCAGCTTTCAGGTGGAATAAGTGAGGTCCGAAGGTTGTATTGGGACAAACGTTATCTAGATAATAAATGGTAGGGCTAATATGCAGCTCCTGCTTGAGGTCAGCCCCATGTCAGATGCTATGTTTTCCTTTCATAGTTATTTCAGCTGGCTGTGCATGCCCTACTGCCCCAGTTAGTCTAAGATATCTACTGTGCATTTATTTTGGTTACTTCACTGTGAAATGCCAAACACTGAATTTGAACCAATGAAGATGATGCATATTTGTAAATTGCTTAAATTCAGTTTAATGCAGTATTAAATAAGCCCACGAACTTGAGAACCACTTTCCTGGATCCAAAGGTTTGTTTAGTAGTTAATACCCATGTAAATGTGAATATAATACTTTACCTTATGTGCCATAAGGAGTCAATAAATATACATAAAGATTGTCTAAAGTGGTTCCTGCATGTGAGTAACACAGAAGTGTAAGCTTTAACTAAACTAGGGAAATCTGAATTGGCAAATAAATTTAGTTATTCCAGATGAGTCCTCTTGGACAAGTCAGTAAACATTCTACACATCAGTTTAGAAATTTGTAAAATTTTAAAATTGAAACATATAAAATTAAAAAATTGTGAGATGATCCATAAGGATCTTTTGGATTCAACAGATTGTAATTCTATTAATAATGGATATATAAAATATTGTTGTAAGTGTGTTTTAGATCTATAGAATTTTGAAAGATAAATTTTTATAATACATAATACTCATGCTATTTATACATTTCAGTTTCACTAAATCCTTTTTAATCACTGTATTCCTTTAGTTCTCATTACTACAGGCCCTCTTGTGATTCCTACGTAATTGATGGAAAACTGTTCAGAAGTGACACAGTTCATTTTGCTGGGACTAACCGATGCCCCAGAACTACAGGTCTCCCTCTTCGTCATTTTCACTCTCATTTACCTCATCAATGTGGTTGGGAACCTAGGAATGATTGTGTTGATTCTCTTGGACTCTCAACTCCACACACCCATGTATTTTTTTCTCAGTAACCTGTCTCTGGTGGATTTTGGATACTCCTCAGCTGTCACTCCCAAAGTGATGACTGGGCTCCTCATAGGAGACAAGGTCATTTCCTACAACGCTTGTGCCACACAGATGTTCTTTTTCGTAGCCTTTGCCACAGTGGAAAATTACCTCTTGGCATCAATGGCCTTTGACCGCTATGCAGCAGTGTGTAAACCCCTACATTACACTGCCACCATGACAACAAATGTGTGTGCTCATCTGGCCATAGGCTCCTACATTTGTGGTTTCATGAATTCTGTTTTCCACATTGGAGATATATTCAGTCTCTCCTTCGGTACATCCAATGTGGTGCATCACTTTTTCTGTGATGTGCCAGCAGTCATGGCTCTTTCTTGCTCTGATAAATATATTAGTGAAGTGATTCTGGTTTTTATGTCAAGCTTCAATGTATTTTGTGCTCTTCTGGTTATCCTGATATCTCACATGTTCATATTTATCACAATCTTGAAGATGCGCTCAACTAAGGGACACCAAAAGGCTTTGTCCACCTGTGCTTCCCACCTCACTGCAGTCTCCATCTTCTATGGAACTGTCATCTTCATGTACTTACAGCCCAGCTCCAGTCACTCCATGGACACAGACAAAATGGCATCTGTGTTCTATGCTATGGTCATCCCCATGCTGAACCCTGTGGTCTACACTCTGAGGAACAAGGAAGTGAAGAGTGCATTCAAGAAAATGGTTAAGAAGGCAAAATTTTCCTTAAGAATGGGATTTTAGAATTGTAGTATATACAATAATTGTGTTTGAAACATTCTGAGCTTCTTCATGCAATGAGTTACATTTAAAGTCTATAAGCATTTAAATTTCAGAGGGAATACCCTCAAATTTTCAGATGTCTTTTGTGTAGTTAAAAAAAAGGTACACTCAGAAATATAATACCTGAAAGGAAAACAAAGAGGAATGGTTGCACTTCCTGGAACTTGTTTGTCAAATGTTAGTAATGACATTTTATTTAATCACTGCTCCACTTCTGTTTTCTCTACTACATTTCAATGCAAGCATGTGTGTTAAGTAGGGGGACAAGTCCGTGAACAAGGCATTTGTGGTGCCCCTGTTACTAGACATTTGAAGTGAGATGTTTATCAAGAGTAAATGAGTATGGATAATTTGTTTTATATTTTTAATGTTATTTATTTATTTGAAAGTCAGAGTTACAGAGAGAGAAGAAGAGCCCGCTAGAGAGAGAGAAAAGAGGGAGAGAGAGACTTCTATGCGCATGTTCACACTCCAAATGGTCGCAATGGCCAGGGCTGGGCCAGGCTGAAGCCAGGAGCTTCTTCAAGATCCCCCACATGGGTGCAGGGGCCCAGTGACTTGGATCATCTTCCATTGCTTTATCAGGCACATTATCAGGGAGCTGGATTGGAAATAGAACAGATGAAAATTGACCTGGCGCCCTTATGTGATGCAGATGCTACAGGTGGCAATTTAAGCTGCTATGCCACAGCGCCTGCCCTATGGCTAGTTTTTGATAAAATAATTTAAATAATTAATTGAGTAGTAGAAAAAGTTACTTTTATTTTTAAATAGACTATTTTTGTGTTTTTAAATTTTATCTATTTTAAATGACATAATATTTCTACTTATTTTGGGACTATAGTGTGATAATTTGATATGTATGTTCAATTTGTAATAATAAAATGATAATTAGCATTTCCATCTCCTCAAATATTATCATTTAGATGTGTTTATAAACTTCCAAGTCTTCTCTAGGTATTTTAAAATATATAACAATAAAGTATTGTAGACTATAGCTACTCTATTTTGCTACAGAACTTCTACTGTGTATATACACTGCATTTTTCCCATTCATCTGTTATGATGGACACCTAGGTTGATTCCCTCTCTTGGTTATTCTTAGTACAGCAATACTTCTTGGATGTGAACCAATTTGTCTCAAATCACTCCAAAAACTCTACTCAAATTACTCTGCCAAAGTCGCTCTATGTGTGGGAAGTTACAACTAGCTAGCTAGCATAACAGTTAGGTTACATGCACCCAGAAAATTCTTAGGTAAATAGGATATTAGGAGTGGCCAATGGAGCTGAAGCAAATGCCAAGAATATTATAACCCCATAGTACTCACCCAAAGAGAAACTGGGGGAGGGACAGGCATGCTAGGGAATAAATTGTTTGATGAAACCATACTGGTGTACCTGCCTACCTTCCCATAAACCTTAAAAATTCTTTTTATTTTTCTAATCTCTTCTTTTTTTGGTTTCATTGAGATATTTACAAAGATTTGTCTCCTTGCTCAGATATTATTTCTTCTCCCTCACAGTCTGTTGCTAAGGCTTTCCACTGTATTTTTTATTTGACATATTGAATCACCATTTCTAACATTTCAGCCTGATTTCTTTTCAAAACCTCATCTTCATAGGAAAATTTTTCATCCGTGTCATGTATGGAATTCTTTAGCTCATGAATTTAATTCTCATTGTCTCTGGTTAATACTATGATCACTCGTTTGAATTCCTTTTTAGGTATTTCATCAGTCTCTTCACCTTCACATTCTAATATTGAAGTGTTGTTGTGTTCCTTTGGGGAGTCATTTCTTCCTTATTCTTGTTTCTTGAATTTGTTTATTTTTAGGCATTTGTGGAAATACTTGTTGTTTTCTCCTCTAATGGATTTTTTTGAGACACACCTCTATGGCTAGGTGGAGTGTTTGTTCCTTCAGTGAATACTCAGAGGCATAAGCTGAGTGTGGTCGTGGAGCTCTGGTTAGTGCTCCAGGATCGGGTGAGAATTCAGGGTGCCACCCAAGTTGGCCATTGTAGATCTCCTCTATTGTCAATGAGGGAGAGGATATGATCACACCTGTTGGTGTAATCACAACTTCACCTCCTATGTTCCAAGGTGATCAATGGCTGGGTTTAGCCTACAGTGGGCACAACCCACATTGATTATGGTGCATGAATTACACAAAGGATCTGTGTAGTCCTCAGTATGATCAAGGAACCCTATGGAATGACCCATCCCTGGCCATCTGGGAATTCTGAGCCTCTGATGTGAGATATATTTATTGCTCAGACACACAGTTCCAGTCATAGTGTTCCCACAAACAGGGCATGCAAAGCTCCCACTCTCACAGGGTGCAAAAGTCTGCTCAGTCTTGCTCCCTGTCCCCCCCAAGGGGAGAGCAAAGATTCTCAGAGTCAGCTGCTTATGGCTACTATACCTTGGCAGTTTGAGCCCTGGAACCTGTGATATGTTTAGAGAATGGGGACACTTCACACTGCCCAGCCCCCTGTCAATCCTCCCAGTCAGACTCAATGTTATTGGGGAGCACAGATCTTTCCATGTGGTAAAATCCCCGGATTTCACATGTGCACAAGATCGACCTCAGTCTCTACTGGTGTCAAAATTACGCCTTCTCCCCACCAGTTTCCAAGAGCATCTGCAGAGGGTATAGGGAGAAAAAACATGCTCTCTTTCACTAGATTAGGCAGTTACCTGCCCCCCAACCTCACCCCCAGGGCTCTAGGCTGGATTCAAAGACAGTGTGGTCCACAAGGCTCTCAGGCAACATCACCAATGACATGGGCTGTTGCAATTTGCTCTGAACTCCCTCTCTAAAGATGGAATCTACTCTAGCTCCTGGCTTCGGAGGTCACGTGCGATTTCCCCGCTTGTTGCTGCATATCCACACCTTCCATGCTGATCCACAATGTCCATCTCCCTTCTGTAGAATTTCTACTGCAAGCTTATCCCCTGGGAATGTACTTCACCACTTCTGCTATTTTCCCAATGCCAGAAGCAGCTTATCTTTTCCCTATCCAGCCATCTTGGAATCTCTTCTTTTTTTTTAATTTTTATGATGGTTAAAAACCTTAAGTAAATCAGGTATAGGAGGAATATTCCTTAACACAATCAAGGCAATATATGACAAACCCACACCCACCATTCTATTGAATGGGGTAAAGCTGGAGGTATTTCTTCTAAGATCCAGAACCAGACTAGGATGCCCACTTTCACCATTACTACTCAATATAGTTCTGAAAGTTTTAGCCAGAGCCATTAGGCAAGACAAGATACAAGTTGGAAAGAAGGAAGTCAAATTATCCCTGTTTGCAGATTGCAGGATTCTTTATAGAGAAACCAAAAGACTCCACTAAGAGACTACTGGAACTTCTAAGACATTTTGATAAAGTTGAAGGATATAAAATTAACACACAAAAATCAATAGCCTTTATATGTACAGACAATGTCATGGCTGAGAAAGAACTTGGAAAACCAGTACCATTCCCAACAAAATTTAATACCTTAGAATAAATTTGACCAAGAAAGTGAAAAGTCTCTACAGTGAAAATTACAAAACATTAAAGAAATAAAAGACAAAAAACATTAGAATCTTCCATGTTTGTGAATTGAAGAATTAATATCATTAAAATGTCCATACTACCCAAAGCAATTTCCAGATTCAATGTTGTCCCAATCAAAATACCAATGACATTCTTCTGAGACCTAGAACAAATGATGCTAAAATTTATATGGAAACGCAAGACACCACCAATATCTAAATCAATCATAAATAACAAACACAAAGCCAGAGGCATCACAATACCAGATTTCAAGATATACTACAGGATAGTTCTCATCAAAACAGCCTGGTTATGGCACAAAAATAGACATGTAGACCAGTGGAACAGAACAGAAAGCCCAGAAATCAATACACACTTCTACAACCAACTAGTCTTTGACAAAGGAGTTGAAATCAATCACTAGAGGAAGGACAGTCTCTTCAACAAATAGTACTGGGGAAATTGGATCTCCACATGAAAAAGCATGAAATAAAATCCTTATCGAACACCTTATACAAAAGTCAACTCAAAATGGATCAAGGATCTGATACCATCAAATTAATAGAGCAGAATATTGGAGAAATTCTGCAAGACATTGTTATAGGCAAAACTTCTTGGAAAAGACTCCAGAAGTACAGACAGTAAAAAGCAAAAATAGGCAAATGGGATTACATCAAGCTAAGAAGCTTCTGCATTGCAAAGGAAACTCTCAACAAAATGTCAGCCTACAAAATGGGAGAAAATATTTGTATACTCTGTAACTGATAAGAGATTGATAGCCAAAATCTATAAAGAGTTCAAGAAACTTATCAACAAAAGTAAAAATCTTGTTAAGAACTGGGCAAAGAACTCAAAGGACTTGAACAGGCATTTCTCGGTAGAGGAATTTAAAATGGCTAACAGACACATGAAAAAATGTTCAGAATCACTAACCATCAGGGAAACGCAAATCAAAACCAAACTGAGGCTGGCGCCACGCCTCAATAGGCTAATCCTCTGCCTATGGCACCGGCACAATGGGTTCTAGTCCTGGTCGGGGCACCAGATTCTGTCCTGGTCACTACTCTTCCAGTCCAACTCTCTGCTGTGGCCCGGGGGGTGCAGTGGAGGATGGCCCAAGTGCCTGGGCCCTGCACCCACATGGGAGACCAGGAGAAGCACCTGGCTTCTGGCTTCGGATCAGTGCAGTGCGCTGGCCACAGCATGCCGGCCGCAGTGGCCATTGAGGGGTGAACCAATGGCAAAGGAAGACCTTTCTCTCTGTCTCTCTCTCTCTCTCACTGTCCACTCTGCCTGTCAAAAAATAAATAAATAAAATAAATAAAAAGTAAAATAAAACCAAATTGAAGTTTCATCTCACCCCAGTTAGAATGTCCATCATACAAAAATTGAAAAACAATAAATACTGCTAAGATGTGGGGAAAAATGTACCCTAATCCATTGTTGGTAGAGAGTGAACTAGGATAGCCATTATGGAAGACAGTATGGAGATTCCTCAGAAATCTGAAAATAAATTTACCATTTGATCCAGCCATCCAACTTCTGGTCATTTACCTAAAGGAAATGAAACCTACATATGAAAGAGTTATCTGCATCCCCATGTTTATTGCAGCTCAAATCACTAGCTCAAGTGTGGAATCAACCTAGATGTCCATCAACTGATTACTGGATAAAGAAAATGTTGTATATGTACACTATGGAATATTTTGCATCCATAAAAAAGAACAAAATACTGTTTTTTGCAACAAATTGGGTGCTATAGGAACCATTATAACTAGTTAAATAGGTTAGTCCCCAAA